TTTTTTTGTTTATTTGTTTCTTGCCACCTGGCTCTTCCTCCCAGCTACAATGAAAGGCAGGAAACCCACATGATTTGCCGCCGGCAGCTGRGAACAGGGAAGGGGCTGCAGGGTTTTGAAGACATTGAATTTGTTTGGTAGTTTGATGGAGCTGTGAAGTGCTAAAAGGGAAAAAGAAACAGCTGTGTCAGACCCAGATCTTCCCTAAATGCCTTAGGGTGACAAATACATTGCAGAAAAAAGACACACAGAAATTGTTTCAAGTGCATCCATATCGAGAGAAAGGGGAGAGCACCCTGTAATAAAAGCCCTGAAAAGGGAATTATTCTGAACAAAACTCATYGTAGAGCGTGAGGACAAGCCCACAAGCAAGCAGATGTGCGTGATACAGAAGGAGACAGGAAAAATCTCACTTCTTACACAGAGATGCARCAGCCTGTGTGCTCAGCACATCCCGTGGCTCCATTCCGCCTGAGGAGGGACACACTCTCGTCAACACTCAACACACTTGGCAATGTGTAAAGTGCAGCAGCCCCAAGTAGCCAGTACTTCCTTGGCCCTCATTTTCAGATCTTTCCAGTTTCACACTGGAGATACCCAYGCTACAAAACCCTCCTCTATTGGGGTTTTAACACTGAATCTCCCATAGGTTTCTAGCCCTTTCCCACATCACACACCAAAGCTGAGACACCCCCGCACGCCTCTCCCTCAAAGATGAGCTTACTGGGTTCAGGAGCACAGTCAGGAAGAGTTCACCACCACGAATGCTTTTGTCCAACTCCTTTGAGCCTCCRGGATATTCATTGTAGAAGATTGTGTGAGTAAAAAGACCACAGGTCTGTCGAGGCAAAACCTGGCAGTATCAGAGAAAAGCAAAGTTAGTAAGAGGCAAACACTGCACCAATCTGATGTGTCAGAGCAGGATGGATCAATATAAAGAGAGTAAGGGATATAAGTAACCTAGGTTCAAAGGACTCTGGATATTCTCCTCAGTTATTTACTCATCTGACTCTAAGTAACAGTGCAAACAAGTCAATGGGGAACTCAATTTACTCCTATTGTACTTGCTTTTGCTCCTCTRTCTCCTTTCAGTGCTGACCTATCCCACTTGAAATCAGGCATTTGGCCAACTCCTAAACGTCCTCTTCAGGAAAAGCCCTCAAGCTCAAGCAGTGAGGCTGCAGAAGTGATGCTTTTGCAGGACGTACTGACTTTATTAGCATCCCTGTGCCAATTCTACAGCAGCACAACTTGTCAACTCTGCATTGTACTGACTGACTGAAGCCCAGAAACTGGTTTAGCYGAGTCCTTTCTCCCTGTTGGACTGAACAATTTTAGAAATCCTGGTGGTTTTGAGGTGAATGTCTCTGATGGGAGTCACTAGGAGTCCTTCCCTTGGTGAGGAAGCCTGTGCCCCCCCAGGCCTGGGCCCTGCCAGCGCGGTGCGCTCACCATGATTCCGTTGTGGATGAATCCGCGGCGGTAGCGAGCAGGCCGCAGGTGCGGATACTCCTCTGTGCTTGTTACCTGGATGCTCCACACGGATTTCCAAGCCTCGTAGAGCTGCGTGTGGACAGGATACACCCCAGAATGATGGGGGGCTACAGCGTAGCCCAAGTCTGTGGGAATCCCATGCTCCTGGAAACAAAATATGCAGCTTGATCATTCAATATTTATTTAACTGTTATCTTTAATGAGCATCTGATTTACTAAGAGCTTCCAAATTGGAGCAAGAGGACAGAGTAGCACGAAATCTCACTGGATTGGGAAACCTGAAATATTGCTTGTGCTTCTTGCCTACTGCATGTATAGAGACAGGAAGGGTGACCTGCATGCCCCATAACATTCAGCACTTGGTGCCAGCTGCTGCACAGTCCTGTAGCTCGCAGGTGTGACAAGTCGGATYAATGCACAAGCCGGAGGTCGAGCTCCTTGGTTACTACAGACAAACTGATTAGTGCTGTAAGTGACAGCTCGCACACCCACAATGCCCAGACTGAAGCCACTAGAGGAGGAAAGCAAAATTTCCTTAATTGATACAGAAGGAAAGGAAGACAAGAGCTAGGAACCGTCTTGAAGACAGAAATTCAAAGACAAGTAGCCAGGAAGCACAAGGCTGTTGATGCTGAAGATATCAGCCTGGAGAGCCAGGCTGTATCAGCCTGGAGCTATCCTAAAATGACAGGAAATATCTGAATTTCATGGTTTTTAATTCCACTGTGTGGTTCTGGTAGCAACATGAATAATGACAGCTCTGCCCTGGTGGTGCACAATGAAACCAGAACCCCTAAATGAAACAACAGCCTTTTCCTTCCCACCGTTTGCCTGGTTTGTGTTAAACAAGTATAATTGTGTTCTGTGCTTTGTCTCTCTTTGCAATAGACCACAGTGTTATTTAAGCAGGAAAAGAAGGAGCCTAAATTGTTTGTATGACATGGAAATTGTGCTCCAGAATCAGAAATATTCCTAATCTGTCATGGGAGCAAGGAGCAGCAGCCCGCCACTCCCAGGGCGATTGCCATCAACAGAAGCAAYGCAGGGATGAGAAGGACACTTGTTTTCAGAGGAGCATGTGCACTATACTCAACTGTGTCCTGTAAGTCTCAATCAGATGCTGCCCCAGCAGTGCAGCATGTTAAACGTTTCCTTCTCCTCTACCAAAAACCAGGGAATTTCCCCTGGACTTCCTATATAACTGACTCCCTCCAGAATTTCTTTGGGAGGCCGGAGGCAGGACTGTTAGTGTACAGAGCATTTTATACTACTGACCGGGTTATTTCCTTACAAAACCACCGTGAATAAGGACAGAGCAGGAAACGCTCTCTCGCAGCCAGGGTTTATAAGTTAATTGGCTTTGGATTTCAATGCCATGGTGAGTTCACACCTCAGCAAACAAGAGCCCTGGGATTTGCAGCCTGGAATGTGCAGGAGGCTGCCTGGGGCCGTGCAGGTGCCAGGAAGCGCTTCCCGTCGCAGGGCAGCCACGCGGATCCCGCTTCTCGCCCCAGGGCAGCTCGAGCCACGCACCAATTTAAACCTTTCCAGTTGGTTTCCTTAAATGCAGCTGAGCTGCCAGGCTAGTATTTGGGTTCGAACAGCTATTCCAGAGGAAGGATGCAGAGCAGAGGAAATGAAGCTGTGTTGCTCCTTACCACAGCAAACTGCTTGTTGAGCTTCATCTGCTCAGCCAGCACGGTGACATTGTGGAAAAGATGAGGCTGCATGTGACTCCACATGTGAGGGAACCACCAGAACTCCTTCCTGTGTTTGAGCAGCATGTCATCCCCTTCATCTTCCTCATCTGTACCTACAAAGAGCAGAAAAGGAAGGGCAAAAGCAAGAGGCAGAAGAGAGGTTCAGTATTTCAAAGCAGTGGCTAATCCCCTGCAACGCTGAGCAGTTCCTACAGGGCAGCAAGATCTCTCTACCCTATGACAGAGACATGCACAGAGAGTACAGAGAGCTACCAAGGGCTGCAGGTATTGGAAGAAATGCATTAGAGCTGCCAAGATCCCCACAGCCAAGTGCCAGGGCCTCGTGGGGTTCCTGCAACACTGGGGATCACAGGCGGGCGCTGGGGCTGAAGGAGGTGCCAGCGACGTACCTGTGTGGTAGAATTTCCCTGAGAAGCCCAGGTTGAAGGTGAAATTTGGGACTAACGTTCTCAGCTTATTCTGGGTGCTCAGTAAAGCCTGTTGGAGAGAAAAGGAAAAAGAAATGGTCACGTTCAGTAGTACTTTAAAGTCCCTTCATGCTCGCCAGGTGCCCAGTTCAGTTCTGGAGGGGATACCACGAGGGCTGGAGACAGGGCACTGCAGCATGAGGAATGAAGCTGCAGAGCTAACAGCTGCACATACAGAGCCTCCACACAACGTGCTGCTGAAAGATGTCATTTCATAACCACAACCATGTGTTGTTGCTCATTCATGATCTCCAACCCACTGTAACGGAGCCAGGGGGTTTGCACTGAGGCAGTAAGGCAGGAAACTCCTCCTCCAGGCAGCAAGTCCCTTAGTCTTCCTAGGCTCAACATCATCCCATCCTAGGCTGGACCTTGCTGTTGAACTTCTCCCCTTTCTCTGACCCTTCAGATTACTGAAGGGCACCCTGTAGGGTGGGGTTTGACACGCTGCAGAGTCAGAGAAAGAGAATGCAGTAATATCATGAACGGGAATTAAGTGATCCAAAGGGAGGGGTCTATGGAAAGGAGGACTTGTAGAAMTATCCACGGATAGCAAGGAGGTTTCTTGGCTTCTGCAAAGGAAGAGCAGGAGGAGCCGACATTCAYAGCCATGACATCTCCTACGGGCCCTCTTGCTCACTTGCTCCTGCTCCGCGTGTCCAAAGCAATCGCTCTAGCTAAAGGGAAGAGCCTCGTGTCGCAACCCCAGTGCCCAGCAGCATATGGAATGAGACAGCAGACAGACTTGGCAAAAAGAAAAGAATAAAATCAAAGAGCCTGAGAGTGTCACAGACAAGCAAGAGAGCTGGAAAACCACAAAAAGCAAGCTCTGAAATGCAGGCTTGGTGCTAACAGTGTACTCGGGAACGTGTCACTGTGCAGCTTCCCAGGAGAGTACTTCCCAATCAAACGGGGCCCTGGCAGGAGGGCTGCCGGCAGGTGACGGAGATGGGCCTGGCCCCRGCAGCTATTTACATTTTAATAGCTTTTCTAAAAACGCACTGGCTCAGTGGCTGTGCCAACAGGGAGGTGACGACCTCCCCACAGCAGACTTGGGCTAAATGTTAATGCACAGGCAAATTTCCGCACGGAAATGGAGGAAACACAGAGTTTTTGTACGGTGCAGAGGCGAGGAGCAGGTAGCCCTGCACAGGGGCCTGGCAACGCTGCCTTTCCCGTGCTCACCCCCACACACTGGGCTCAGCCTGTCCCGCTCCATGGGCGAGTGCAGACCCCCAGGCAGCGCCAGGACCAGCTCTGCCGCCCGCTGCTGCAGGATTCCCTGCATCCCAAACGCAYGCAGGGCTTTTCAGAGGTGACAAACCACTGGCAACGGGAGGGTCAGGTCCCCCCACGTCCATTCGTCAGCCTCAGGACACAGGGACTCATCCCGCACCAGGGATCAAGGCTTGGTGTCACCTCTGGGGCAGGGTCTCACAGTGCCACCAGGAAAGGGCCTCCTGCCTTCCCTGCCTCCAGAGCCCACCCAGCCTCGTCTTCTCCGCTCCTCCCTGGTGCTTGGAAAGGCACATGCGGCTCCTCAGGCTCAGCAGGAAGGCTGGAGGAGGAAGAGGAGGGCTAAAGGGCTTGTTGGGAAGGCCGGGGTAGGAAGACGGCGGCTAAAGGGCTTAGCATTCCTCATTCCTCCTGGAGCCCGGCTTGGGTTGCCATGACGACACATCTGTCGGATGCTAAATCCCACCAGCTCCGGCTCTGCTGGGGCCGGGCAGGGAGGAGCCTCTGTGCCTRGGGAGGGAGGCAAGGAGGCACGGCGGGAATTCTGAGGCCGGGAGCTCGTCCCGCTGCTCCCCCGGCACGTTTATTTCTAGTGAGGKGCTGCTGTCCTTTCCTCAGTCACATCCACACAGCATCACAGCAAAGCTCTCAGTCAATGTCTTTGCCCTGCACAAGATAAAAAGACCAAGGTGCCAAATAAAATATTTGGGAATTTGTTTCAACAAATGATGCACTTACTTTTCCCCAGCGTGCTGGTTCAAAGAGGTATGGTTAGTAAAATGAAACAGACAGATGTGGGAATGCGCCGGGAAGGTGGCACTTACCTCCATTCCCAACCCTCATACCTCATACTCAGTTTTTCTTTTACAAACTAGGGCAAATATGACAGTACTAATAATATCTTCCAGGTGAACTCAAGTGCTATTTCATTTATACCCATAATGTGCTCTGGGACTCTTAAATGAAAGGCAATCAAGAAATGTGGAGCAGGAATATCCATTAGGCTGTAATAGCCACATATGCAAACAGATGTTCATACACGTATTTAAGAAATTCAGTTGCTCACATGGTACTGCACACAGGGCTAGTATTTTAGCTATTTTCCTATCCCTAAAAACACAAAGTTTTCACTCCCAGCAAAACGCCCCCTTCCCTCATCCCTTTAAGGACTTCTGTTTGCAATTTCTTAATCATTTTCCATTCCCAAATCCAGGGTTTATTCAGGCTASCCCACAAAAAGCCCCTTTGCTGGTGCTAAACCTCCTGCCCAGGGCTCCTCAAGGTTAACCCAAGGAGTAGGGGAAGAGGAGCTCTCCACGCGAGGAGCACCGCCGGCCGCGGCGCTCGCAGGCCACGCGAGGCCGGGTCCCTGCACGCGAGTCACGGCCCCTCAGGAAACCCCTGCCGACCTCCCTGACCTGCATTTTCAGGGGCCTTGCAGCGACTGACCGGCGGCCACCGCGCAGCCCAAGGACAAGCCAGCGCAGGGTGCGGGACACACCTGGAAACGTCTAAATCCCAGCCCTTCAGTCTCTTACTTGGGCCCTTCAGTCTCTTATTTTAAAAAAAGGCTTCTTAAGAATCCCAAAGGATCCCAAATGCTTCATTTTAAGCAAATATTAAGGAAAAAAAATGTTAAAATGAAGGGCTCAACCACACTGCACGCAACTTGGCTTTTCTAGTTATGAAACGCCTAGCTCCCCAGTGTGCTCGCAGTGACCTTGGTTTTTTCATGCAAACCCTGAATATTGCCTCCCCTCTCTCACATCTCTCTAAAAAAGACATGGAAAAAGGTGGGAAAACAAGGTTTAAAGTTAGATGTTTGGGAGAGAAGAATGCTGCTAATTCAGGAAAACAGCACGTGGCCAGATGAAGGCAAAAAGGTAACAGAAAAAGGAAAGCAGAGCATTTTGGCAGTATTTTCTCAAATATTCATGAGGAACTTGCTGCAGCAAACACCTCCTTCATGGGAATGGCCCCCAGGAAACTGGGCAGCACATTTCCAGAGGATTTTCCAGAGTTTTCTCACAGTACTGTAGCACTGGCATAGCTCAGAATAGGGCCATCAAGAAAGTATTCATGGGGCTGGCATTCCCATGTTCCCTGTAACGCYAGGATCTGGGAATTAGAAACTTCTAAATACCCCCATTTCAGGTAAGATCATCCTCTCTGATCAGAAAGGCAAGAGCGGGCTGATCACCTTCACCAAGAAGGACCCAAACCAAAACGCTGGTCCTTGGTCACCACAATCTTGCTCTCAAGTTCACTAATGACTGCCCCTCTATTTGTGCCCTTTTTCAAGATTATCCACAAAGAGGTAAAACCTTCTCTAAAACCTTGTCTACTTCATCTCTATTCCTCGCAGCTAAAGACAACCTGGAAGGATGAGAAAAGCCAGATTTTCCTGCATTTGAAAGAGCTCTTCCTTCTTGGCCAGGCCCACGGAGGATTAGAAAATTCTGGGGATTAGGATTTCAACAAGAGACTGAACGTGGGATAAGTGAGATGAGAAGAATCCTCCAAGATTTTGTTTTGGTAACTACGTGTAGCCCAAATTCCTGATGAACTTCATAGGAGAAAAACAACARCTTGTGCAAGTCCCAACTGCTTCACTTCAATTGAGAGCTGCAAGCTCCTACTGCAGCCCTTCAGCAGAAGCAGAAACTCAAGGGTTATCCTTGAAGTCAAAGTCTACACGGTTCCTTTATTTCCTTTTCCAAGGTTCAGCCCTCCTCTGAGCATCATAAACAAAAACATCCCTCCTCACACAGGATGCCCACCAGGGAGATGCACTGATGAAATTATGTTCAGCATTTTCTTTTACTAGTCATTTCATCTGGGAAGCTCTTTGAATGTGGACCTGCATACGGGAAGCAGCCCCACCAGGACAGCAGTCAATTCTATACCTCCATGCAACATCCAATCTTCAAAACTCTACCCTGACCACTGTAATCTACATTTCAAGATAAGGAGCTGTGTGTTGGGATAACAGCCCTGAAACAGAGCTTTCATATAAAAGGCCAAAGAAAATGCCAGCTGTTTTATCACATTATACCCCCTTCCCTCCCCACAGCGAGAGGCTATCAACAAATCCATGTAGTTATTTCTCGCTTTTAAAAAATAAAACTTCATTAACCTCTCGTGGCTCTGCAATCAGAGAGCTTCTTTTAAATGGATAAATCTGGGTTTTATCTGCTTTGCCTGAGATTCTCTGCTTACTGATCACAGATTACTCCTCCATTTCACCTCGTTAAAACCCAAACAAAATGTCTTTTGGAATTATCTTGTCTGTGGCTGTTTTTAACATTGCTAAAGCAGCCTTGGTGCCCAAGAGCTTGGCAAATCACCTCCTGCTTTCACCATAAACACCACCGAGGTGGGAATCTCTGCCAGACTGCAAAAGTAGGACCAAGGTCTGCTTAGGACCAAGATAAGGTGACTACGATCCTTCTAAAACAGATTTTGGAGCATTTCAGCACCTCAGAAGACAGAGACACTGCATTGAARTGAGGAAAGTTTTAGCATTTTCTTTATGTAAGCATTATGCCCAACTGTTGATGTGTTTTTCCTTACCTGCTTGCTTGCAAGCAAAAAATTATGGCCAAACACGATCATATAGAGCTATTAACGAACTGAGCAAAGGAGGAGTGAAAATAGTAATAATGAATAAAGAGAAAGATAATGACATGCAATTAGAGTTGCTCCAGGTATGCAGCTCCAAATGAATTGAGGAGATAAAACCAGATCAAAGTAGGTTAGAAGAGTTTCCTCCTCCCCAAGCTGAACGTGGGAGCAAAAGTAGAATTTAAACCTCAAAGACCAGAGGGAAGAAAAGGAAAAATAAAGGACGAGGCTCAGGGTAAGGAGCCAAGCACACAGAGCAGCATTTTACTTTATCATTCTGCCCCAAATGTTCTGTACCCCTGGCTTCWTCTTGGAGTTGTTTTGGGAACACGCTAAGACACCTGCTGTCACACACTTAATGGCAGGTATCCAGGGAATGTGATCCAGGCTCAGACCTGAGAGCAAGTGCTAAATGGAAATCTATCCCAGGAGCAATAAAAAGCTGGAGCCTCCCACCCCTGGCAGCAATCTCAGCAGGCCTGGGAAAGGGGCAACGCAGCCGTCCCAAGAGCTATAAACCAGACCTGCCAGGAGAGGAGGTGCACAARCAAAGCCTGGCCTTAGCAAGGCAACATATAAACACACCACAGAGGCCTGCAAGGAGAATCCTTTATCCCATGTCTTCAAGCAACTGGAAGGGGCTTCTAGGTTCTTATCTTTCTTCTCCTTGTGTCTTCCTCTTTCCTCTCCTCCACAAAATATCTCTTTCTGTGTCTGGCCTTTCCTGTATCTTTCCCCTACCATGTCACTGTATTACCAAGGAATTGCCAAGGAAAGCAATTGGAAAGATGGCATCTCTTTCTCCAATCATGAGGCCACGGAGGTGGTTCTCAGCACACTGCCCCAGTGAAGTCTGATGCACTCCTTGCACAGAGATGGARAGTATTGGTGGAGGAGACGGAAAGATGAGGGCGGAGTGAGGGAAACCCCTTCTTAGTCCCAATTTGTTTATGTCCTGAAAAACTGCAAGACAGCTAAAAYGTAGGCTATGACATGGACTGGCCTGTGCTTTTACACCACAACCTGCTTTTTCCCTTTGGCAGGCAGTTTGCGGGTGCACAGAGGTTTACAAATGAAAATCTGCACATGCTTATTCCCTGTATGAGAGGAGAGGGGACAGGCTACCACAGGCATTCTTTTCTCAAACTGAGAGGCAGCTACATGTCCCAGGACACAAAACTCTCCTTCTAAACCTGGAAAGCTCTGGTGAACATCACATACTCGGCCACACCATCCTCAAAGGCTGATTCGCTGTGTTTAAGAGGAGAACAACAGAGCGACTGACTTTCACACAAATTAAATTCAGCCTTGACATTCCTGGCATACCACACATGCCAGATTTTGGTCTGAGTTATCCTGTGTTTATCCTGGGCACTTTACCTCTACATCGGACACCTTCATGCGAGTGCCCTCCTTGCCCACAAAGATATCGTCGATGTCGACGAGGACATAGCGATCAAGCGTGAGGCAGAGGCGCTTGCCAGTCAGGTAGGCAATGGCATCCACGAAAATGAGTTTGTGCAGCCAAAAGCTGAGGTTATTGCCAAAGAGAACCCGCTGGATGCCGTCATGCAGACCCAGGTCCTGCACCACAGTGGCGTGCAGCGCTTTGTGGGTGGCCAGGTGGGGAATGGACTCCGAGGACTTGGTGCTGGCCAACAGCACCGGCTCATACGTGCTGTGGTTTGACTGGAACACGGTCCAGTCGTCCCCGGGCAGGGGCCCCTGCTCCACTTCGTTTGCCCGGGTGACGTAGAGCAGGGGAGCGCTGGGATTGATGTGATAGTCCCGCAGGCCTAGGTTGGAATGGAGGAAAAGGGGGAAGCCCTTGAGCTGCGCGCTGAGTAGGCTGTTCTCGTTGGCTTTGAAAAAGCCTATAATCCCCACGCCGTACTCCACGCAGTACTTGTCCAGCAGCTCTCGGTTCCAAGCGTCTAGGTTCACATACTTAAGGACATTCTCATAGATAATAAGAGCATAGCGGCCCCTGTCTTTGTCTGTCAGGGTGGGCATATCCCCCTTGCCAGGGGCGATTTCTGTCCTGTATTTGAAGCGGCTCGATTCCAGGATGGCCACGATCTCCTGCCCCAGCTGGGAGTAAATGCTTTCCACAAAGACCAGCACCACGGGCTCCGTGCGCGACGTGTCCACGGACTTGGTAAGCCTCCAGCTGGCCTGCGGAGGGATCAGCACGCGCTGCTGGCTGCTGCAGTCGCTGAAGGGCAGCGGCGGCGGCTCCTTGATTTTGGGGCTGTTGGTGACGTAGTAGGCCAGGATGCCCATGGAGATGAGGCTGAAGGCGATGAGCAGCAGGATGAGGCGGTGCAGCTCCAGCTGTCGCACGTGCCGCACCACTTTCCAGAGCTGAATCATGGTGAGGCGGGCGGCCCAGCCCCGTGTCACGCTCGCCTCCCGCGGCGCCCCGCGCGGGGCCGGCGGCGCCTCCGGGAGCTCCGCGCCGCGCGCACCGGCCGCGCT